TTCTACTTTTATTAGTGACATTTAAAATAATACCAAAAATTAATCGAACCGTAACGATATCGAAGAGAAACCGACATGATTGAGACATTTTAAAAAGTCTTTGATTATACAAAATAAAATAACCGAAAACAAATTTTATAAAATAGACGGACACTCCTAAATACCTCCCCTTCTAATCCTGTGATTTGCTTGGGCTATTAGTTAAGCTTGCTATGTGACCCCGACTACTAACGCGACCCCCCCACCCCCCCCCCCCCCCCGACCCGCGCCCCCCGGAAACTCCTCCCATTACCTTCACTACTGCACACACTTTCTCCGGCCACCACGTTCGACTTGGGCCACCCGCGACCAGGTAACAATCGTCTTCTCTTCTCCTCGTCTGTCTTCTCTCTTCCTCTCCGCAATTCTCCCCCTAGTCCCCTAGTTCTGTAGGGGTGTGCGTATTGGGTGTGAGTTTTGTGTCTGCTGGTGAATTCAGTGTGATGCAATGACTGAACTGTGGTGTTGGATGTGCTCATTTCCTCTAAACTTGAATTCCCATGTGCTTTTGGGAGAGTGTCGGGGTTCTTTCACTTGTGCGAAATTCACTCACTAAACTACACACAACATGTTTGATGAATTGCCGCAGGGGGACAAAGTGAGCCTGCTGGTGAAGTCCTGAGTAACCACAGCCTGCTTGACTAGGGTAGAGCATGAACTTAGTGATGGGTGTGCGTGCGTACCCCTGTCGTAGTGTCGTTGGCAGTGCAAGTTAGCACACCTGAATGTTAGTTGATTGTTTGGCACGATTGTTGGATGTATTATGTGTGTGCCTGAGTCCAGCTGCCGTGCTTTCTCAATATCACTCTCAATTGTACATTTGTACTATTAAAAGATGTTATATGCCAATTAGAACTGCCTAAGTCTATTTTAGTTGGAAAATAATAAGGAGGATAAGTATATGTCGCGTACTGCCATGGACTTAAATTGATATTATCTTGTATGTTATTATGTTTCAAATGTGATACCGAGCTGAATTTGGATGTCAACTTGAGGTTTGTAAGGGTTACGCCCTGTCTCAACTTTCTTATGAAATCGTCATCCTTTTATAATAATTTCTCTTCTTTATTGTTTCAGAATCCATCAAGTTTGCTGCTGCTAATGGGCATAAGATGGCCAAGGGTTTTAACGCCGAAGCAGCTCTCACAGATAATACAGAGCGAGAAGAACCCACTAAAAGCGCTTCAAGTCTTTGACGAAGCAAAATTCAAGTATCCAACTTACCATCATAATGGTCCTGTCTATGGCACTATGATTAATATTTTAGGCAGATCAGGTAGAACAGCTGAGATGAAGAGAGTAATTAATCAGATGAAAGATGACTCATGTGAGTGTCATGACTCAATATTTGTGAGTGCCATTAGAAGTTATGCACTAGCTGGATTAACAAATGAAGCCATGTCTCTTTTTAAGTCTCTTCCGGAGTTCAATTGTATAGATTGGACAAGATCTTTGAATACGCTTTTGGAGATATTGGTAGAAGAATCTAAGCTAGAATCAGTTTATCAGTTATTCCTTGAGAACTCTTGTAGATGGGAAGTGAAATCTCGGGCCTATTTCTTAAATTTGTTGATGAATGTTCTTTGTAGAATGAAACGGTCTGATCTTGCATTGCATATTTTCCAAGAGATGAGTTACCAGAACTGCTATCCAAACAAAGAGAGTTATAGGATCTTGATGAGGGGTCTGTGTGAAGAAAAGCGGCTCAATGAGGCTACTCATCTGTTGTACTCAATGTTCTGGAGGATATCTCAGAAGGGTAGTGGTGAAGATGTTGTTGTATATCGGACTCTATTGGAAGCATTATGTGACAATGAAGAAGGGGAGGAAGCCATTAGTATTCTCGGCAAGGCACTGCGGAAAGGACTTAAAGCTCCGAAAAGATGCTACAAGCAGATTGATCATTTTCGATGCCAAAATGGTGCAGATACAGAAGATATGAAAGTATTGATTAATGAAGCTCTGATAAGAGGCATAGTTCCCAGTTCAGATAGCTACAGTGCAATGGCTGTTGACTTTTACGCTGAAGGAAAGATTGATGAAGGTAACAAGGTTCTGACGGAAATGCATCACAGAGGCTTCAAACCATCGGTGGGGATTTATGAAGCTAAGGTAGCTGCATTGTGTAGGGCTGGCCAGGTTGATGAAGCAGTTGCAGTCATTGATTCTGAGATGATGCAGAAAAACTGTGTTCCAAATATTCTGTTGTATAATGGTGTTATAAAAGGCCTATGCCATGAAAGAAAATCTACTTCAGCTGTTAAGTATTTGGAAAGGATAACTAGGCAAGTAGGTTGCGCGCCAAACTATGAGACTTATGAAACTTTGGTAGATGGGTTATGTAAAGATGGTAAATATGTTGAAGCAAGTAAGATATTGGAGCAAATGTCAAGCAATTCCTTTTGGCCTAGAGTTGAGACTTTGAATTCTCTTATCCAAGGTCTTTGCCAAGTAGGTGATTTACACACTGCAATAATGTGTTTGGAGGACATGATCTCTCTAGCCTCGACTCCAAATATCCAGGTGTGGCAGTCATTACTAGATTCAATCTGTTGTGAAAATTCTGGCATCGAAAAGCAGCTACAGACCTTATTATAGTTTTTAACTGCAGCTGTATTGCTAGATACTATAATTTTTTTGCCGGTAATAAACATTTTCTGCTTAATCCTTCCTGGCATTCCTGAGCTCTGAATTTTAGTTACTTGTCTTGATACATTTGGCAATGTCACTATATGCAGGTAGAAAAGTTTAATCCAAAACCCATTCGAATACGAGTCCAAATATACAAGTTTCATCCAAAACCAAATCTAATTCGGGGTTCAGGTCTCCATTTTTTACTTTAGAAAAGTTTAGCCAAAACCCCTAATATTTCTCTCTTAGATCTACCAATCAAATGCCTTAAACAAATGTAGAATGATGAATAATAATCAAATCCGGGTCAAGATACTTACCCAATCCAAGTATGTGAAAATTGTCTCAATTGGGGTGTGATGATATAGAGTAAAGGGATTTTTACCTTCCTATACCATATATGAAACTTTATTACCCTCAATGTTTAAGGTTTTAGTTAATTACATTTCAGCATACCAAATTACCATTTTTATACCATAATTCAAATAGGGATATAATTAAGGGTTCATTTATATTAGGCATAATTATAGGACTGTATCTTCCCACTTTCTCTTTCCTTTCATCTCAACTGTTCACAACACACATACAACTCACGATGCTCCTATGCTTCCTCTCGTTGATCATCCCCAACTGCCCACCGCCTCTCAATTGTTATTAAGAATCGAAGAATATCATATTTTCAGATTCACAAGAAAATATTAAATTCTTTGATCGAACCGCTTGAATTCCCACCGGAAATAATAATGGCAGAGTGTTCGAAATTTCAAACACAGATAGAAATCAAGCAACAAATGGCGGCGGCGAGATTCTCACTTTTTGATATCTGAATTTCTTTCGAGCTATGACATTTTGTATGGAGATCACTTCATGAATTGCCTATTGTTGAAACCCTTTTTTTTTTTTTTTGGATTTTTACATTCCTATGCCACATAGGAAACCTTTTGTAGTCAACATTTTTTTTTTCAATATAAATTGTAGTTTAATTGTAGTATAAATATAGTAATTTTGTAGATACTCTTAAAAACAATACAACTTTATACAATACTTAAACTGATTTGTAGTTTATTTGTAGTTTTTTTGAAGAAATTTTGTAGGTCAAGAGAAAATTTTGTAGTCAACATTTTTTTTCAACATAGATCGTAGTTTAATTGTAGTATAAATGTAGTAATTTTGTAGATACCCTTAAAAACAATACAACTTTATACAATACTAAAACTGATTTGTAGTTTTTTTTGTAGATGAATATAAGATTTTGTAGTCAACATTTTTTTTCAACATAGATCGTAGTTTAATTGTAGTATAAATGTAGTAATTTTGTAGATACCCTTAAAAACAATACAGCTTTATACAATACTAAAACTCATTTGTAGATAAATGTAGGAATTTTGTAGATATTAACATAAAATCAGACTTCCTCTTCTCCGTTCTTTCTTCTTCTCAAAAAATACAGAGATGAGACCCAATTTTTATAATCAGATTTTTCCCATTCAATTGTAGCATGATTGGGATTTTGGGCACGATTGAGTGTTGTTGCTGAGGTATTGTTCTATATTTTATTGTTTTTTTGATTTGTGTATTGAGAAAAAAAAGATGAAGAACAGATTTGATTTCAGTTTGTTGAAGCTTTTAGTCTTTTTTTTTTTTTAATTACGAAAAAAATTCCAATGGCTTTGCCTACCAATCAAATCTGATCCGGAGAAAAATACGCAGATGAGAAATCTCCTTTCCCTTTTTAAAAATTGAATTTAATGTAGAATCAATTAACACCAAGATTCTCTCTTTAATTTTAGCGCGTTTTTTAGGGAATATTCTGCCCTTTTAATGCCCTAATAGTCGAATGGTATATAAATTGTAGTAAAAGTGTGAACTGGGCGGGTAATTAACAAACTATGCACATTTAGGGTAATAAGGTTTCATATATGGTATAGTTATGAAAAAATCCCTAGAGTAAATACCAAAATGGTGGTATTATCCATCGGAGGCGGGATAGATAATCCATGGAATATCCTGAACTTCATATTCAATATGCCGTAATTATTCATACAAGTCAACTTATTCGCTAATGAGATGCAAGTCGTGGCATCCTTTTTTTTCTTTTTTTCTCCGCTTTTAATATTTATCTGTAAATTATTTTTTCTGTCACCAGAAAAAAGCTAACCACTATTTTGACTTAGCTATAATCTTAGTGGCTAACCATGAAGCAATTATAGAAAAGTTCGAGCCCATATTTTGACTTAGCTATAATCTTAGTGGGTGCCAATAACACAAACCTAAAGCGATAATATTATGTTGCTATATAAAAACCAGAGGTTCCTACTCAATATGCAAGTCAAGTTTTAGTTCTTTTCATTCTTTCTCTAAGTATTGTTGGCTGCAAAAGCAAAATGACAAGCTTAGGGAAGCTGGGGCAATTGCCTTTACTTGTAACTGCTTTGGCAATTTGCTTTATAGCCAGCACTGTTGTTGCTGATTATTCTTATGGGTATGCTTCTCCCTCGCCTTCTTATACCTCTAAGAAGTATTACAAATCACCATCTCCACCCAAGTACCCAGTACCTACTCCTTACTATAAGTCACCTGCTACTCCAAAGCACTACTACAAGTCACCAGCTCCCGTAAAATATTACGAGTCGCCAGCTCCCGCAAAATACTACAAGTCGCCATCTCCTTCAAAGAACTACTACAAGTCGCCATCACCTGCAAAGTACTACAAAGCGCCAGCTCCCGCAAAATACTACAAGTCGCCAGCTCATGCAAAATACTACAAGGCGCCAGCTCCCGCAAAATATTACAAGTCGCCAGCTCATGCAAAATACTACAAGGCGCCAGCTCCCGCAAAATACTACAACTCGCCAGCTCCCACAAAATACTACAAGTCGCCAGCTCCTTCAAAGAACTACTACAAGTCGCCATCACCAGTAAAGTACTACAAATCGCCTGCTCCCTCTAAATATTATAAGTCACCGCCACCACCAAAATACTACAAGTCCCCAGTTTACTATAAATCTCCACCACCACCAACTTATTATGAGAAATCACCTTCGTATTACAAGTCACCTCCACCTCCTCCAACATACTATGAGCAATCACCTAAGTCACCTCCACCCCCACCAAAATACTACGAGCAATCACAATCTTCTTACAAATCTCCTCCACCTCCACCAAAATACTATGAGCAACCATCGTCATACAACTCTCCACCACCACCACCAAAATACTATGAGCAATCACCAATCAATTATAAGTCTCCACCTCCACCGTACTATAAAGAATCTACACCTTCCTACAAATCTCCTCCACCTCCACCAAAATACTACGAGCAATCACCTATAACTTACGACTTACCATCTCTGCCAAAGATCAATGAAAAATTGCCATCATACTACTCACCTCCACCACCAACGAACTACTATAAGCAAACTCCCGCCTATGCCTCACCTCCACCACCTGCAAAATACAAGCAATCTGCCACCTATGCTTCACCTCCTCCAGCAACCTACTACTAATAATGATCAAACCATTCACTTCTATCAATTTTCAGCATTTCCTTGATTTTTAGATCCTTTTCATCCTCCTATTTGAAGGATTTCTATTTTCTCTCCCAAAATCTTACGTGTGCTTCCCCAAAGGGTCGGCTTCTCTTGCTGTGTGCTCATTTTAATTTATAATTTGCATTATTTGATATTCAAGATCCTCGAGATCTCAAACAGTAGTTTGGCTCATTGTATCAATTAAGCTCCTTTCGATGTAATCTCTTGAGAATTTTACTTTAATTGCTTGAACGAGGGCGAAACTACATATAAAAACATACTCTAGTAATATAAAAACATACATTACATATTATGTGCGAGGGCGAAACTAGCTTGTACGAGGTGGGTTCAATTGAATTTCATTCATTAAAAAATACGTTGTGTAAATAAGGCAAAACTATTTTTTTTTAGTTACATATTAGTTGTTGAATTCCCTTCACATATTACACGAGCAATGCATTTAAGAATTTCATGAACACTTTTTGCAACATGAACCCCTGCATCAGTCTCGAGCTTTTTAACTTAAGAGTCCTCCGATTTCGTCTTGCAGGAGAAGGGTAATCGTCGATATATCAGAATGACGTCCTATCCTGACCGAAAGGTCGGGCTTGGGACATTTTGGATAGTCTCCAATTGTTATAGCTTGTTTTTGAGTGCACAAATCTGCAGTATCTTTATTTGAAATGCCGAAATTCATCTGTAAGGTCAACAACTTCGACAGAAAATGCTGAAAAACGACTAATAATGTAAGAGCTCTTTTATTTGATGATCATTCTTGATAGCTCTTACTACCTCACATATTAGAAACTGTAAAAATGATTCACATAATTCTCCACAAC